TCGGCCGCGCCGCGCGCGTACGAGCGCGTCGTGGGCGCAGGCGAGGCGTGAAGATCAGCATGGGCCTCGTGGAAAAGTTGCATGGCCCGATGCACGAGAGCGGCCAGGTCGCCAGGTGAGCGCGTGTGCGCGTGGGTTGTTGGCTGAGTGCGTAGTGTGGGCTAGCTAGCTAGGCTATATAACTGGTCATGTATCCGGTGTGTTGGGGAGTTCGTGCTTGGGAAATACAAGCGGCCGTTTCGTGCGGCCGGCGACGTACATATGTCGGGCAAAATCTTGTTGTGTTCTCCTTGTTCTTCCTCTTTTTTCTATGTATGTGCGAAAGAGAGAGCTCAAGTGAGGAGGAGAGCTAAGGCTAGACACCAACAGAGAGGTCTTAAAGTAAGGATTAATACGGCGTGTGGGAGATGGGTGAACAACGGAAATTTGGCATGACCAGTGGATTGAAGGGTCACCCACGATGAAACCGCTGGGTAGGCTCTCTGATGAGCCGGTTCAGTTAGTGGCAGATCTGATACAGGTAGAGGGTGCAGAATGGAACACATAACTTATTTAAAAAATGTTCATACAGGCGGATGTCAATGCCATTCTGAATATCCGTGACCCAGAACACAACAGTCAGATTTTTGGGCATGGGCACGTGAGAGATCAGGGCTGTTCACAGTCCGGTCTACTTGAGTAAATGGCACCGGCGGTCCGAGAACTTGTGCTGCGGGTGCACTTAAGTCACCATACTTGCAAACCGGAAAAACCCGTCATAAAACTTGCATTAGGGGTGCAGATAGGTCACACAGGTCATCTGAACCGGTCAGCTGCCCGGTTTTCTCCTTCTAACGGTCAAGCGCGATAAATTTGTTCACGACTTTAAAAATATATGTGATTCGTGACTTTAAAAAAATGTTCGTGAACGATAAATTTGAAAACTATTTGTTCACGACTTTAAAAAATGTTCGCGAACGTTTCAAAAAATATATTCGTGATCTGCGACTTTAAAAAAATGTTCGCGAACGATAAATTAAAAATATTTGTGATTAGTGACTTTAAAAAAATGTCCAGGAACGAAAAATTTGAAAAAAATTGAATGATAAATTTAAAAATGTTCGTGAATGATTAATTTGAAAAGTATTTATTCACGGCATTAAAAAAAGGCCGAGAACGATAAATTTGAAAAATATTTTGATTCGTGAACATTTTTTGAAAGTTGTGAACATTAAAAAAATTGTGATTCACGACTTAAAAAAATTTCGCGGACGATAAATTAAAAAATATTTATTAAAAATATTTATGATTCGTGACTTTAAAAAAATATTTGTTCACGACTTTAAAAAATGTTCGCAAACGATAAATTTGAAAAATATTTGTGATTTGCGAACATTTGTTTTAAGTGGTGAACATTTAAAAAAATGTTTGTGATTCACGACTTTAAAAAAAAAATCTCGGACGATAAATTAAAAAATATTTATTAAAAATATTTGTGATTCGTGACTTTAAAAAAATGTTCAGGAACAAAAAATTTGAAATGTGACTTATCTGCACCCGCAACGCAAGTTCTATTACAGGTTTTTCTCGAAAATAGGACAGCTGGCCGGTTCAGATGGCATATGTGACCTATCTGCACCCGCAATGCAAGTTGTATGACGGGTTTTTTCAGTTTACAAGTACCGTGACTTAAGTGCACCCGCAGCACAAGTTCTCGGACCACCAGTGCCTTTTTTTTTGAACGAAGACGCTAGAAGCGTCCGGCTTTAATTAATAAAGCCCTCAGGCATCAGGTTCAACGGGATACAACTTAAGACAGATGAAACTTAAAACGTTCGGTCCACGACCGTCGTCCAAAACGCTGCAAAGGTTCAACCCGGCGGCAATATTACATCCAAACAAAGCATCCATCGCGAAAACGTAGCTAACATAGACTCTCACGAAATCTCCAAAAGCTTCAGCTGCTCGGCGGAGTTTGTCTGGGTGACCAGTGCCATTTACTCGGTCTACTTACAGGGTGCTAAAAGAAAGGCATTGCAACGACCAGGGTGTACCAAGCAGTTCGTCTGGCGACCAGGACACTTGAAAGAAGTTATGGAAACTGAATGTGCAACCTAAAATAAGGATGTTCTGGTGGAGGGTACTTAAGGAGTACCTTCCGGCAAAGGCCAAGCTGGTTCGGAGACATATTGGTAATAATGCTAGCGTTGTCTTGTGGCATGTGTGGCGGTGGTGAGGAGACGCTGTTCCACTCATTGGTAACATGCAATCAGGCTAAGTTGTTCTGGGCAGAAGCATATAGGTTCTTTGGAGTCAAACTTCTAAAGTTGCATCCACTCACATAGGCAAAGGACCTTCTGGATTCAGATTATGTAAGTAAAAAGGAGGCCGCTGTCATTGTTTCTGTAATGTGGGCAGTTTGGAGCAACCGAAACAAGTACATGCATGGAGAAATTCAATATTAGCCTATTGGGTCTATGGAGATAATCCAGGGACATATTAGAGCATTGGATATTCCAGTTAAGCAGCAAGAGACTCAGATTCAGAAGGCTGTGTGGACAAGACCACTGGGAGCTATTGAGATCAACTCGGATACATCATTGGATTTTGAGGGTGGAAGATCAAGAACTGTTGTGGTCGTCAGGGATCACGAGGGGAACTTCCTTGTAGGAAGATTCTCAACATACATTGGAAGCACTGATCCATATGTATGTGAGGCTCTAGGATGCAGAGATGACATGCTGTTGGCAAAGGAAAAAGGATGGACACGGGTTCAGTTGGTCACTGACTGCAAGAATGTGGCAGATGATTGGAATGGTAAACGTGATTGTTCAAGCTGTGGCCCTGTCTTGAGAGAGATGGGTTCAGTTGGTCACTGATTGCAAGGATGTTAGGTTTTGGTGCGATGTCTGTTTGGTATTAGGCTCGGACATTTGACACCCCTGCATCAAGGGGATAGGAGTAGCGACAGGTGTTGTCAAGATGGTGGCTTCAGGCTTACTGATGTATTACTTTGTAAAGTCTTTGCAAAAAATTAATAAAGTGGCTGCATGCATTGCCCAGATGCAGAGGCCGAAGTACATTCTCCTTTTCTAAAAAAAAAAAATCTCTCATTCTTCCATGGATTTGAAGTGAAGCACTGTGGAAGAGAAGCGAATGAAACAACCCATCTGTTAGCTAGACACTGTCTTTCCACTAGAGTGCTGAATGTAACATATGATGTAATCCCTGATCTCTTAAGTGCGGCGGGCCGTTACTAAAAAAATAAAAATCAGGAACAACCAAGGAAAGAGACGCACGAGGTAAACGCACTGGTGTAATCAAGCTTAAACCAACTGAACCAATTTTGAAGCCAAAGCTGGCACAAAGACAGAGTGACGGACTACAACCTCGATCCTTTTGCGAGGGAAGTACAAATACCAAATTCAACTCGAATAATGGCGGAGGCACACTGAAGAGCGTCAGAGCGACTTAGCCTCCTTTATTCATAAGTAGTAGCGGCAACTAACGATGCTGCGCACGTGCATCCAACGGCGTGTTAGGCAGAGGACGCGTCGAGGCAGACCCACTGGCCGACGAAGATCCTGACGCAGTTGATGTTGGGGTTGAAGCCCAGGAAGTCCTCCTGGGTCAGCCCGGCGTCCTCCGCTAGTGAGGAGCAAGTCTCGCCCTGTTGCACCGCGCTCACCTTGTTGCACGTCAGCGCCGGCACCGCCTTCGTCAGTGCATAAACTGCGAAACGCACAGACAGTCAGGCACACGTCCAAAGGGTTACAATCCAGCACATTTGGGCAGATCATGGACGATGTTGATCGGTTGACGTACCTCCGTTAAGGCTGCCGCGCTGCAGCTGCATCGCGGTGACCCTGGCGTCGGCGAGGGCGACCGCCGCCACGAGCAGGGACGCGATCAGGAGAGCGGCGGCTCCGTGGTTGGCCATTGCAGATGCAGATGCCGCCGACGCGAAGGAAGGATGAGGGTAAGCTGATAGGTGCTTTGTTAGTCTCTGCTTTGGTTGTGAAGAGAAGCTTAGCCCTCGCCCTTTTTATAGCGTAACGACGAGCTCGACACTTGAAGGTCGATAGGATGGAGAGTGTGACGCCATGGTTCCGGTCATGGCCTTGGAGACGGCGTCCAATGTACGGGCGATACTGCTTATGCTGAGAACGGCATGGACATGTCGTTCCTAACATTTACAGGCCGGGCCCGGGGTAATCCCGTCTGTGATTCCTATGGAACTGCTTTGTACTGTAATATTCTTCGACCGCCGTTTGATTTTGACCGGGCCTAATATTTTACCCTCACGTTGCTCACTTGAAAAACTGTCTTGCTCCATGTTGGTGGTAGCGCAGTGATAGTGGAGAAACAAGAACGAATTGATCGCAGAAAAAAAAAGAGATAACAGTGGAGGAATGGGATTGTTGTCTATCAGTCTCGATCTGTCCGGTCAGTGCAGTTCAGTATCCAGTGTATCAGTCACTCTAGATCTTGTATCCGCGATCAATTTTTTTTTCATACCATGCAGGAGAACCATGTGATCCTAATAGAAAAAGAAGAAAAATACAATCACACGAGAACGCAGCGTGTACGGAAAATTCCCAAGTAGTTCCTGCAGAAAGTGGCAGGAACTTGAGTACCTGTGAGTTGTGACGGTCCAAACATCGAACCTCCAGTCATACTTGTAATAAAGCGACAAAAAGAAATGGAATTTGATTTATGTTTTATCCAAGAACTCAGCCAGATATTAGTACCAGTAACGTCAAGGTGGTTTCTGGGTGCAGATTACAGAGCAGTTTTGTTAAACTAGAACTGAATATGTCAAAATATACCAATGACAGCTCCCCCTGAAAATACCGCCTTACTATAATAATGACAATTAATATCTTTGAGATCGAGCACTTCAGAAATTCCTGGGATCACTTCAAAAGTGCTGTCCGTTTAATATGATGGGATAACATGATACTCTCATGTCTGAACATATATTCAGAAACAACTGTAACACTCCTTACTAATGGATAGTACTACCTGCCATCCAGGCCAGTAATTGACAAATCATTCAGAGAGCAGCTTCCTTCAGGGACATCAGCTTCAGTTGGAAGCAACATGGATACGAAACCAGGTTGTTTTGGGGCCGGCAAGGTGGCATTTTCGCTAGTAATCATGGAAATGACTTCGGCCATGGAGGGCCGATCAGCAGCATTCTCCTGAACGCACAACAGGCCGACGTGAATGCATCGTAGCACCATATTCTCAGGACATGCACCGTGCAACGATTTATCAATGAGTTCGCGCCATCTGCCTTCTTTCCACAGCTCCCATGCCTGCAGAGTTCAGTTGCAGACATCAAATTAGAATAAAAAATCAGGTACAACAATTATAGAACAGTTCGAGCTTGTTAGAACTTTGACCCACGTGACCAAGGAGGTTTAGGGAGTTTCCATGTCCATGAGCTGCGGCATTTCTTAGCCCACTGACGATCTCCAGAAGCAGTACCCCGTAGCTAAATACATCGGACTTGACAGAGAAAATACCTGCCATGGCATATTCGGGGGCCATGTAGCCACTGAAAGAACAATAATCTAGTAAATTCGATGTTCATTTCTCAGTATAGTGGTTCTTCCACTTTACATGTAAAATACCAATAGAAGTGCTTACTATGTTCCAACGACTCTTTTCGTGTTAGCTAGTCCTCCTTTAGGATCAAATATTCTTGCCATTCCAAAATCTGAGATCTTAGGGTTCATATCAGTGTCCAGCAGAATGTTGCTTGGTTTCAGGTCCCTGTGAATAATTCTTAGCCGAGAATGCTTGTGGAGATAAATAAGACCTTGTGCGATCCCTTCAATTATGTTAAGACGCATTGCCCAGACTAAAAAAGCTCTTCTCGATTGGTCTTGCAAAATAAGACTTGATCAGTTCAAGAAGGCATGGAAGAAAAATATAGCTATGTGAAGTAGGGATATTTATATAAAAATGAAAATACCAAATAGGAAGAAATCCAAGCTTTTGTTTGGCATATACTCATAGATTAGTAACATTTCTTCCCCGTCAATGCAGCAACCTAGGAGTCCCACTAAATTGCTGTGTTGAAGCTTGGCTATTAACAAGATTTCATTCTTAAACTCTGGTAGTCCTTGACCTGAATTCGCTGCAAGTCTCTTAACAGCAACATCTTGTCCATTTGGTAAGTTGCCCTGGAGCATTGTGTTAGATTTTCAACAGTCAGACATTAGTACACTCATATCTTAGAAATAAATAGATTCACCTCCCAAATACCACTATCCATCATATTGAGTTGATTTATTTATTTTCTGAAAAGGAGGTTAAAACCCCCGGCCTCTGCATCAATCGATGCATGCAGCCTTCTTTATTAATTATTCAACAAGGTCTGACAAGAAATTACATCAAGCCACCCAAAGCCACCACTCACACCTACAAACTCGATAATGTGGAGTGCTCTCACTCCCCATATCTCAAACCGGTGTTGTCGCCGATCCATCCACATAATGTATCGGAACCTACATCCGGTGCAGCAAATCTAAAGCATACATCACACATACGGTTAAGAAGGCGCCATCATCATTTTCCCGCCGACCCATCTTCAGAAAAGAGATCCGCATTATCCTTGCCAGTCCGGCCACCCATCGACGCCACCACGGTGCCCAACGGCACCACCTCCCTGCGGGCGAACTGATGAGCACATCGCGGTCGCCACCGGTACACCTCAACACCATGCCGCCAAGTACCACCGGCTGACACAGCTTGAAGTCTCTGGAAGATCTGTCGTGCGTAGCACCTGCCGAATAGGCATGACAAATCGTAGCACCTATCGGCCAGGCATGACTTGACATCTCCATCGAAGCTCCGTGCAAGACGAAGCCGCCCCACCGCCTGCCTCTGTCTTCGAGCGCTGCTCCACGAACGATGCTCCCAAGAGAGAAACGACACCGCAATGCTGCCATCGTCCGATCTAAAAGACCAGATCCTAGGGTTTCCCCCGGAGCAGCACGAGTGGGTTGACAGTAGTTACACGACGATGCCTTCATCAAGGTAACGACGCAGAATGCCCGCCATCGCCTGCCATCGGCTCGGTTTTCACTGGCAACTATGTCTCCCCGACTCGCAGTCGGAACTAGATGACGGATCCCGAGATCCGAACACCCAGCCTCAAGCCGACCACCTCCGGCAGAAGAGATGACCACCACCGCCGGCTGCACCGGCCAGACCAGATCTGACCGGAGGTGCTGCCGCCGAGACCACCAGTCCCTCCACCCTGCCGCCGCCGATACGAATGCAGATTGCACGCCACCGCAGCCAAGCCGGCCACAGCCGCCGACAGGAGCAACCACCGCCGTCCAAAAGGGCCGGCCGCTGCGCCCGCCGCGCCCGCCGCCCGAGACCGGGCCGGCCACCGCCGCTAGCTGCCGCAGCCATCTCCGTGGCGCTGCAAAAACCGGATCGGCCACGCCACCTCACGCCTAGGAGCCCCGCACCACCCCTGAGATGCAGGTGAGAGGAAATCCTCCGCTACCGCCGTCGGCCCCCGGGCTTAGCCCGGCGGCGACGGTGGGAGGGGAGGAGGGAGAGCGTGCCCCCGCCGGCTAGGTTTTTGGGCGCCGCCTGAGTCGCGGTTTGATGTATATTGAATTTGCCTAACTGCTTGATCTAAGAGCACAACATATTTGCCACACATGACTAACAGGTGGAGGATGTTGCAACTATGAACATCTTACAGGACCACTGGACAAAGATATGCTCCATTTTCCCCTTTCAATTAGTTTGTTTTTTATTTGTTACAATCATAAGATAAGAACGTCACTATCATTACTTGGCTAAACACAAAGTTATACATGCTGACTACATGCTTAAGAATAAATTATTATAATTAGCACCCATTCGTCTTGAAATTCTAGCAAACATATTAGCGAACAAAACTAAAGAACACAATTAACCTTGTACACAGGGCCAAACCCTCCCTCTCCAAGCTTGTTTTCAGTTGAGAAGTTGTCTGTGGCATTTTCTATCTGTGAAAAGGAAAGCATCATAAAGTGAGAGCCTGTGTCTTCGCTCTCCCATAGCTTCATCACATCTGAAGTCATGACGAGGGGGTGATCAGGCTGTTTTCTTTTCCCTGATTCACAAAAGGGGACTTGTCATGTGTTTATCAGACTAAGACATGTCATGTTCTTTAACTATGAATTGTTTTTTCCAACTCAGAATGGTTACCTTTATTTTTCCTTCTCCTAATCCAAATAAAAGAGATGAGACAAAAGACAAGGAATGCAACTGGCGGAAGTATATATGCTATCCAAAGCATTTTGTGACCTGCAAAAACAGAGCTTGTCACTTGACACAATAATACTATCAATAATGTTTCTGTTTTCTTGCAATTAACCCTATCTTCAGATACTGTCTCCCCAGTGGCACTAGTCCTTTACCATGTAATTCTGATGCAGCTATACGAAGATGAAGAGTTTCAACTCCATCCTGCAAGTTTGTTAGATTGCCATGCCATAAGCTGCAACCATCGGAGAGCGAATGAGCATATGCCGTACAAGAGCAACTTTTCATACAGGCAAATTCACATTCACTTTTTTCCATAACTGACAGCTTCTGTCTGTTGCCACTTTTTCCCACAACTGACAGCTTCTGTCTGTTGCCAGGAACTGTCATATTAAGCATATCAATAAACCTATCACCATTACACTGCAGTGGGGTTTGTCTGGTGCACCCTTTCCTAGAATTTGATTGGTCTTGTGCTGCAAATCCTTCTGGACACCGACAAATGGATTCTGATGCTGATACGGACATACTGTTGTTGCATACACCATTAACTCCACATAAATTAGACACATCACAACTATCTGGATGTCTCCATAACAATGTCCACAATTTGGTTTCCGGATCGATCTGTGTTATGTTCAGTGAACCACTTTGATCCAAAACAATCTTAGTCATTATGCCAGCAGGGTTGGGAGTGTACATGCATGTAAGGTTGTCACACTGAAATGAAACAGGGATGATACTCATAGATTTCAGTTCTGGAATGAGAGAATTCGTGTCACCATTCCAGGATGCACTTGTCCAAAATGAATTCCGATTCCAGTTAATAATGAATTGTGATGCTGATTTATTAATTATGCTCGGTCCAAAACCAAAAGTGTAATCTCCCGTTGCTGGATCATCATAGCTCTTCCATGATTTCAGCAAATTTCTAAGTGTAATATTCATTCCAGGGAGCCATGTATCAGTAGGATAGGCAAAGCTATCCCATATGATATTTGAATGGTTGGCCATGCTCCTTAGCACCAAGTTGCCAGTATACAGTATTGCAGCCTCCCTGTCCCTCACTCCCATCCCAGAACCAAAAGCAACTATAGACGAGCTGCCTGTGCCATTTTGGACTATCAGATTACCGACATCATCAAACTTAAGTACACCGGACTTATCATATACTGGATCATTCCTGTTAGCAACCCATACAACCGTTCCATTTGGAGTACTGTTATACCATATACCAATATATCGGTGGCTTGAAGCTCCAGGGCTAAAGAATCCAAGCACAAATTTCTTGTCACTAGAAACAAGGCTCTGCCCATCAGAAATGGATTCATTGAACGCGATGGTGTCTCTTGGCGTGGTAGCCGAGAAACATCTTATTGCTAACACAGATGGAATCAGCAGAACAACAACTGTGCACTTCTTCAAGTAGCTTATTTCCACCAACATGGCTTTCTCCAAGCATAAACTGGGAAAATTGCAAGCCAAAACAGTTAAGAGGGAGAGAAAGAGTTACACTAAAGGAGTACATAACATAAGAATATCTCGGATCTCCATACCTCTGTGAGTTTCTCGCGATAACGAATCAACGGGAGAGCATGGTAAGCAGAATACTTGGTGTAATCGCTGCAGGATGGTATGAGCTTTTTCTCCAGCAGATATCTCCACAGACCATGAACATCCGGAGTTGCCAGCTTTGAAGATTCCATGAAAGCAATTTTCCAATTGCCAGTAAAGCATGGAAGATGGCTGCAGTCAATGCTGGGATGTGACTCTCTCTTATGTCTGTAGAAGAATAATCATACGACACACACTGACCACAAATAATTAGGGGGGCATGCTTTCCACGGTTCCACCTGAGGTAGTGAGTTTTGACCGGAGACTGACTGGTTGACTTGCACAATACAGTATAAAACAAGCTGAACATATTTGTACTAGAAGAATGAACCAGCTGCGCCTGTGCAACAAAGATGACAATCTTAATTAATTTACTACCATAGTTGAACTGTGCGCGATGGATCCGATGGTAGTATGCATCACAAGAAATTGTTGGTAGTAGTTACCATGCTAATTGCTAAATGATGTACTAATCTACAGGGCTTCCAGCGCTTGCAAAAGAAAGTGGGTGGAGAACTGAAGGGGGGAGGGGAGGGGAGGGGTGCCGTATCCTGGCTCACTTCTCTTCCATCGACACCATCTTGCCTACCAGCCACATCAGACAAAATTATGGAAATCTCCAAAAATCTCTAACCGCGAATTTAATTGTACAAGATGGCGCACCAGGCTCGAACTGTAGACCAAGACGAAGCTTCGGGGTTGGGTGAGTGAGCTTGGCGTCCAGGTAAAATGACGGCAATAAAGCGCAGTGCATCGGAAATCGCCTCGCCGCCGCCGCCGCCGGCGAGCACCCATTGCCTCATGGCCCATGGCGGAATCGGTGGCGGCGGGCGACGACGGTGAAGGGAGGGACTCGAGCCTGGATTTTATTTAGCGGAGTTAGGCTATGGGCTTCTGCAGCGGTTGGTTCGTATGAAACCCGTTCATCCGTTACGCGTTTTGTAATGTTTAAAAATTCTAAAAAAATTTATATATACACGTTGGCCCACAGCACAAAGTTTTGTATAAAAAGGTATTTTTGTTTTGTCTCAATAAAAAAGACAATTTTTACTGCTTCTAAATAGCGTTTCACGGCATAAAATTTTGTCTTTTTTGCATAGGGTACAAAAAAAAGTTGTTTTTTCTGTGAAACTTTCTGCACACACATAGAATATGGAGATGTCCGCACGCATCCTTTTTCAGAATTTTTTGACATTGCAAAATGTGTTTTCTAAAGTGCATTCATATGTACCCGGATTTATCCATGCACTTTTCATTCATCCCAATAAATACTACGGCCCGCGGGATGGATGATGTTAGCACGGCTGTATTTCTCTCAAAAAAAATCACACCATACACATAAGGGTATTCTGAAATCACTAGTTAAGGAAAAGCATGCCCTTGAAAAGGTCACTCCTAACTTCTTTTTTGGTGACAAGTGGTTCACTACATGTGTAATACTTGTCGTAACCTTGGAGTTTTGTGATTTTTTCTGTTTATTCGTTTGAAAAAACGCTTTATCTTTTGAACCATGTGTCCAATCGTTTTTACTGTTGCGTTTCTCACATCGAAATCTTTTAAGCTAGATCCTATGCTAATAGATTTGGATGGGAAAATTCCAAAAAAAGGGGGGGAAGAAAGGAAAATTGAAAAAAAAAAGGAACCCAATGCATAGTTGCAGAGATAAAACGTTTTAAAAAAACAAATCTACGGAAGGAAAAAGGCACAAATTCCCAGGTTATGACAAATCCGCTTGTCACCACCAGAGAAAGATGGGAGTAACCTTTGCAACGGATACTCCTTAATTAGTGATTTTGAATCTTTGCTAGTATCAAAACAGATTTGGTGTGTTCGCTTCGCCTGGCTCGCCTACAGCTCCTACAGTGTGCTGCCATTGGGCTGGCCCAGTAATGGATGTACATCTTTGATTTTATGTTCATTTCTTTCGGTTCATTTCTTAGGTTTTCTTTCATTTTTATCGGTTTTCTGCATTCATTCATTGGGTTTCTTTTGGGTGGAGGGGTATTTTTCCCTTTTTGGCGTCTTTTCATCGGTTTCCTTGGTTTCCTGGTTTTTTTACATTTCTTCATGAGTTTTTCGGGGGGTTTTAAAGACATGTCTACCTTTTAGAAAACAGATTGTACAATTTTTTATATACATATGGAAAATTAACTGGTACATGTTGAATTTTTTTCAAATAAATGATGTATATTTTTTCAAATACTTGTTTCAAATATTTTTCTTATACATGTTAAATGTTTTTAAACACAGTTGATTTTTAAACAGCATTAAGATTTTTGGAAGGTGTGGTGAGCATTTGTAAGATTTAAACAAAACGTATTTGCATACTCTCTTCCACAGACCCCTCCTCTGCTCCACTCTCTTCCACCGCCGCTCCTCTTGAGAGTGATGCGGCATACCCTATCACAAACATGCGCGATACACAAGTCATGGTGAATACATTGGTCAATGACAAGGGGTTGCAAGCGACTGCGACGGTCGTCGACAAAGGGGTGCAAACGGAGGACATAATGGATGAGACGACTACGGTGCAGGTCGAGGAGGCGGATGCCAGAAAGTTAGTTAACCAAGACAAAGACCATAAAATTACAGAAGAGATGACACATCTTAGCAAAGAAAAAGATGGGCACTTGCGTATATTGTGTGGTCCAGACTTTCTGCCCATAATACACAAAGGAGTTAATGTTAATTATGAGAGAGCTGCTAGATTAGATGGGTCCATATAAGTGCATGCAGGCACAAAGCCAGAAAGGAATTGTTTGTTTACTAACCGATTTGGAAAACAATACCGTGCATGCGTTTGGAGAAATAACAGGACGTGAAGAACATGGAGAATTAAAAGGAAAGAGACTACAACACGCGCCAGATTTGTTAGCTGTGTTTCACAGGATATACAAACCACCGATCTGCATGTCCTAGAAAATAGGAAGGGAAGGAGTCTGCGTGTACATGCAGATATCAATCGGTCAGCTGTGTACGTTTGGAAAAAAAAAACAAAAATAGAAGATCATAACAATTACAGCAAGGAAATCGGCTGCGCCACAAGTCAAGCAAGGATAGGTAAATCATGCACGTAATACGGCCTGCGTGCCTTGTTTAGGCCGAACTCATCAGAGTCGGTTTGTATCTAGCTATATATAGTTTTGGCCGTCCAGACTTTATAGTTTTTTTTAGGTTAGTTTCTTTAGAGTTTGGGTAGACTATGAAGCGGTCCTCTGAGCGTTCATCTTGTTTATTATTGTGAGACTAGAAGAACGCCCGTGCGTTGCAACGGGACCATATTAACTTTAAGAGTTCAATACTAATCATGTTAATAATACATTTAATATTCTCATACATATCAAGTGACACTGGCGACCTTTTTTGTCAATTTAGCAACGGGCTCGGTTGCAACGGGCTCTTTATACATATCAGACAACTCGCTACTACTTAAACTACAACTATGACTACCAATATTTTTTTGTCAATTTAGCTTAGCAATAGTGCCTGGCTTAATAGACTGCTTTGCATTCACCCCCTCAGAAGACAGCGAGAACCAACTCAACATGTCAGAAGATTAACAGAAATTTCATTTATATGGCATGAACATATAGCAGGAGCACCAACACATAGATCAACAGAGAGCAGAGCACAGCATGCACACACTCGGGCCATCTATATCATACACACACAGCAACTCACACATGCATCATGCTGGCATACACATACAGAAAAGCAGGCACACACGCATCATGCACATTGGCCGGTGCGACGCACGCAGAGCAAGTACGTACGCACGGAGAGCAAACTAGCAAGCACGCACGCGTCCAACCCCGCCGCTGCATGCGCTGGCAGAAGGTGAGGCAGCAAGGGAGACTGCACATTGAAGCTGTCCATACAAGGCTGGAGGTGCTGGGCCGGCGACGGCAGTGTCGGGACGGCGCTTGATTCGTTCCCGGTGGCGTGGAGCTTGGGCCGGCAGCGCGGCGATAGCTAGTGCTCGGGGATGGGGGTTTGGGGCGGGGGCAGTCGACCCGATGGCTGGCGAAGTTAACGGGCTCGGGCGGGTGGAAATTCGGCGGGTGGCGGCGGCACAGCGCGAGGATGGGACAGGCGGAAAACCTAGCGGGCGTTCAACTACCAATATCCACGCCTTTTTTTAGGGGAATTGCTTGTGAAAATAACGTGCGACGACGACTTAGCGAGCGGATCCCTTTAAAAAAGACATAGCGAGCAGATTCCCTTAAAACTGGTAGGAATGGATACGATTGATGACGTTGATAAATAGTGATGAATGTTGGCCTAATTTACTATCATCATGCATGAAAACGAATCATCAAGAAAAAGAATACTTCCTATTACTACACTCATAGGAAGCTTCCTAATCTCTGCTACCAAACAGTTTCTGCCCAAACAAGGAAGGAAAGTTATGGACGTGATTCGGAAGGAAACAAACGTTATGAAGATTAATTAATTTAGATTTGATCTTTAGAGATTGATTGTGATTGATTCTTTTACATAAAGACATTACTAAATAATTTGCGTCAGTATGGAAACGAATCATCAAGAAAAAGAATACTTCCTATTACTACACTCATAGGAAGCTTCCTAATCTCTGCTACCAAACAATTTCTGCCCAAATAAGGAAGGAAAGTTATGGACGTGATTCGGAAGGAAACAAACATTATGAAGATTAATTAATTTAGATTTGATCTTTAGAGATTGATTGTGATTGATTCTTTTACATAAAGACATTACTAAATAATTTGCGTCAGTATGGAAAGTTCTGATCTGTTCAGTTTTTTTCGTTGTGTGAGAGGGTGAAGTGAAAATAAACCGATGAAGTGGGGGCG